GTCCTGTTTGCAGCAATGATTACTGTAGTGTTCTGATGGTGCAATAATTTCTTTCTTTCTTTCTTTTTTTTTTGAGACAGAATCTTACTCTTTCGCCCAGGCTGGAGTGCAGTGGTATGATCTTGGCTCACTGCAACCTCCATCTCCGGGGTTCAAGCAATTCTCCTTGCCTCAGCCTCCCTAGCAGATGGGATTACAGGCGCCTGCCACCACGCCCAGCTAATTTTTCTATTTTTAGTCGCGATGGGGTTTCACCATGTTGGCCAGGCTGGTCTCGAACTCCTGACCTCAAGTGATCTGCCTGCCTCAACCTTCCAAAGTGCTGGAATTACAGGCGTGAGCCACTGCGCCCATTCTGCACCCTGGTTTTTGTTTCCTCTCTAGAGCTTGCCACCTTTTTTGGTGCAAGGTGCCTTAACAGAGTTGCGTCCAGAAGCCTAAGTTCCAGGGAAATGACTCAACTCACTCTCCCAGCAGCCGCCTCCTAGGGTCCTCTGGCCAGAGATGGAGAGTGGGTGTGGGGGCCCATTCGAGTTACTTCCTGGGCCAGCTTCTCTTGTCTGGGCATCACCCCCGAATGCCTGCCCCAGCAGGTTGGGTGCTGGCCCCACAATTGCATTAGAGGTCTGGCCTGAGATGAAACTTCTTGGTTTTTTTTTTTTTTTTAGACGGAGTCTCGCTCTGTCGCCCAGGCTGGAGCGCAGTGGCGCGATCTTGGCTCACTGCAAACTCCGACTCCCGGGTTCAAGTGATTCTTCTGCCTCAGCCCCCCAAGTTGCTGGGATAGTTGCTGCAGACAGTAGCCCGCCACCACGCCTGGCTAACTTTTGTATTTTTAATAGAGATGGGGTTTCACCATATTGACCAGGCTGGTCTTGAACTCCTGACCTTGTAATCTGCCCACTTCGGCCTCCCACAGTTCTGGGGATTACAGGCGTGAGCCACCGCGCCCAGCTGAAGCTTCTCTTTTATTTGGGGCACAGCATGTGGAAAAAATGATGCTGTGGCATTTGCTGGGGCTGGGTGGAGAGAGCTGGAACTGAATTCCTGACATGCTGTCTCTCTCTCTCTTTTTAAAAAAAATTATTGTGATTTCTATGTGGTTTTAAGAAAAATTCAGTATGATAGTGTAACTTTGGAATCCATATGATGCTGGAG